ACTTTTTATGAAAGAAACTTCAGAGATTCAGGAATTTACACATTAAGGTACATATTAACCTATTTTCACTATGCCCCCCAGACATTTTTCTTTTGAGCTTTCCATAGGACACAATGAGCCAAACTGATCCTTAGAAAACAACTTAAGACAAGTCGGTGTTGGAAAAGGGCATAGAAACTGCTGATGTGTGTTTTGTACAAATTCAGATAAGTACTTCCAAAGAAACATTAACAAAAAAACACTTATCATCCATCATCACCATGGAAATTTTAGCCTTGTCATCATCAATATTAACTTCCATGTTCACCTACATTTTCTCTATAAATCCTTTAATAAAAAGGGGTAAGAAAGAAAAATCTAAAAGTAACCATCATGTCATTTGCCTTGTTTCCAAATATTAGTACTCTGTCAGGATGCTCAAACACTGTACTCTGTTTCTGGTAAGGAGACTGTGTTACAGCATAACAAATTGAGAGCCTGTGCTCAATCTTCAGACAATCTTACTACTGCTCAGTCGTGAAGACTGAGCTCTTAATGCCTCCATCTATATGAACACAGACAGTGAGCTCTAAGAAGGAACCTCTCATTAGGATGGCTAATGCAGCAGAATTCTTCTTCTTTTCCTTTTTAGTCACCAGAATTCAGATCTCACACATTAGGCACAAATTTAGAATAAAAAGTCGTAAGAAATGAGATGTGTATAATCTACACGGACTTTTTGCTGTTTCTGAGATGGAAATTTCTTCTGTCTGAATCAAGACACGGAATTTGGTTAGGAATAATTAAGACATTTTGGACTAATCCTTTGTATTTCAAAATATCTAGTTGCTCATGCAGTCTCTCTAAGGGCGCATGCATAGAGCAAAGTTGTCACAGATTAGACCTGCAGTGACCTAAAGCATTTTTTGCAGAAATTGAAGTTCTAAAGCATTGTCCGATTTCACAAACGCAGCTCGCATGCACAGTCTAGTCATAGTGCTCATTTGTTTGGAAAGACAATATTTAGCATATGAAAAGATCATTCACCATTCATAAAATATATTATTCCTGAGGACAGAGTGTGCTTATACTTTAGTAAAATAATGTGCAGTCAATGCAAACAGCATACTAAACAAAGTCTAGCAAAAAGATTTCTCAGCTTAAGCAAACAGCTAGATAGTGGCAAAACCTTCAGACACTGTTGATGACCTCCAAAAAGACAGGAACACACACAGTGTTTCTCCAAAACTTCCTGTGCTTTTCCAGCACATAAAATGCACGGTGTCAGATCTGCATACTTGCCTTTGATATACTCCTATACACCAGTGTTGAAAATCATTAATAACATATATATTTAAATCCCAACTACAAAAAGGATTTCTTTCCTATGCGTTTTTTAAGTCCAACTGGAATAAGGATTTCTTTCCCATGTGTTTTTCAAGTCCAATTCGAATTTGCCTAAGTATGTATTGACATGTGCTAATATCCACTGCAGGAATAGGGAAGTGTAAAATAGTATTTCTGATATTTGCCTGATTTTATCCTCTATCTTTATATCTTGGGCCAGCCAAAGCATTTTGATTTTAGAGAAAACATTAAAAAGAGAGCTCATCTCTGACCTCCTGAAAAGCTGAAGTACTACTACTACATGGCATAGAAACAGAAGCTGTTGACACATGGTTAATGCTGTCAAACGGTGCTTGATAATCCACAGAATGAAAAGAGAGACAAGAGATTAAATCAACCTGTGTGATTCGATAAGCACTGAGGAGAGTGCATTAATTATTTCTGATAAGGACTCCCAAGGAACTTAATACACAACCCAGAATATGAAGGAACAAAACATGGGAAGCAAGTTCCACCAGCCCTTTATCACAGAACTAAAGGGAAATATATCTGGTTAGACCAGACCTTCCAATTTCTTTCCTCCTTTGTGCAATATTGTAGATACTCCTGCAGCTGCCTTGTCTGCTCACAGAGAGCTGGAATTAACCCAGAAATCTCATGAATATGGTGAAATGGCTGAAGAACTTAAGGTCTGATGCTATGTCCTCTGGATACAATAGATCCTACTTATCTGCTCTGATGGGGTCTTGACTCTTAAAATTAATTTTATATGCATAATAAAATGATTGTGCTAATACATGCAAGTGAATACTGGAATCACACTTTTTGACTCAGTAGGGTACTGTAAGTAGTAAAAATTCAGATCTTTTCATATCTGTCAAGCAGTGATTTTGCTGCAGCTTCATCCCTAAAAATAAAGTGAAAATTTGCAGCCTTTATAGTTACTGTGTTTTGTTGACTCTTTGTTTTTGTAATTTTTTCTCATCCAATATCCAGAAGCATTATTTAGAATTATACAAGAGAAACAGAATGACTGGAACTCTCTTTCTCATGTCCTTTGCAAGGTAACCCTGCACACTCGCTCAGATTGTTTAAAATAAGTGCTGCTCTTTTCCCGTATTACGAAACATTAACCACAGGCAATTTCATCACCAAAATGTGATTATAACCATAAGCAACACTGCTGTATGCACATAAAACTTGAAATTTGATCCTTTAGATGAACATCTACCTTCTAGAGCGATTTTATCCATAAAGCCCCCCCCGCCCAACTGTAAGAAGGCATACAAATACTAGTTAAAAAATCTAAAAGTAACCACTGTTACACTGTGTGTGTGTGTGCATTTATACACAACCTGTATACATGTCTGCCTGTATCTAACTCCCATGCTTTGACTTATTTATGCCAATAAAAGGAGTGTACATTACTGGAGCATTTACATTTACAGTAAGAAGAGGAGCATTGTTATAAAATGCTCTGCTTCTCCTTCCCTGAACAAGCAAGTCACAATATTATACTATATGCCTGATATATATCTGCATAAGCTTGCATACTATAAAGAGTTATTCGTATACTGAGGACAAAGTCATTTGCACAATTATAAGAATACTTCAAGTTAGCATTCTGTGGTTCATGGAATCTTTGCCCAGACAGGTCAAAAGGAACAGTAACACAGTTAGACATCTGCATGCTACACCAGAGCATGAAAATGACAAATCTTTCAACCTGGAAGCATGTGGAGGTGGCCTTTCTGCACACAAAAGTGAAAGGCAATTCAACAGCCACATCATTTTCAAATAGAGCTGCAATGTGGGCAATGAAACGCATTCTCTTAGTGCTGCTGTTTTCTCTTTGAATTTAGAATTTCTGGTTTTCAACTAGAAGGATAAATTAACAACACTGATGTGCAAGTCTTAAACTGCATAGTATATATTAAGCAGCCACAGATCCCTTTTTTTAGGGTAGGACCACATCCACAATCTCAACAAGAGACTAGGACAAACCTGACAAAACAGTAAGCTTCAAAGATCATTTATATCAAGTTATGGCCACAAAGGCAACAATTGCTCTTTTCTTCAGAGGCATTACAGATGTAGCTGAGAAATCAGAAGCCGTAGAAGTAGTGGATATCATGTAAGTTGGTTTTAGTCATGCCCTTACTGTATAAGTTGACAGGTAATTTTCTGTTATTTCCTTTACACTGTTATTATCTTCACAAACAGCACGAAAATCCATTGCCTTTTTTAAATGACGGTGTCCAAATTTTTTATCTGTCTGCATGTTCCTGAGTGCCAATTCTGACCAGAGCTGCCGACTCACCACAGACCCGTTACAGGTAAGGCTTTTCATTTCCTTCATCAGAAGCATCTATCTTCCAATTGCCACCAAAACCTGCAAGTGTCCTGCCCAGCAAGAACATATATACACTGTGTATCTCATACACTGATGCCAGACTCTAACTTCATTTTGTAACTGCACTCTTCAATTTCCAAACAATATTTTTGTTGCAGCATGGTAGTGACTAAGGCCATTCATGGTGATATTGTTTCCCATTCTTTTTCCTTTCTCTCTGCAAATGCTCCAGTTCAGCCTCATACATCATTTCCTGGACTAAGTATTTCTCTCTCCTCATTCTGTCACACAAGTCTTTAGGCATGTCTGGAATCAGGTAGGCAATGAAAGACTTGATTCCAAAAACAAGGTGCTGAAAAGAAGAATGAGAAGAATTGCTTCAAAGATGCATAAATATTCACTTCTACTACCACATTTTATAGCCTAAAAGCCTGTTGCAAAACTGGAACTGAGGTTTAATTCATGACCGAAAAGCAACTCCTTTGTTTTGTTAATATATTATATTTCATAGTTTCACAGAAACGTGAAAATGCTGAAGTCTTCTAAAAGGAAAAACTTTAGCGACCTAAATGAAGATGCTAGTCTGAATAACAATAGCTAACACTACCTACAAGCAGTTTTTGTTAAGAGCCTGTAAGCAACGTAAGTAACCAGACTCCTGGACAGTCTGTAATACATTCTCCAATTTTTATATTAAGCTACAATCATGTACCATTTTCCTGACACAGATTTTAACCTGTAATAACTGTGCTTAAATGTAAACCTAAATTATACTTCTTTTTCAATAAAACATTAACGATTTGATTCAGAATTGACATGATGTATGACTGTTAAGGAAATACGATTTTGGAGGGACTCTAAAATCTGTGTGTGCTCTGTCAATTCAGTCTGATTGACAACAGCTTGGGGAAGGTGATTTTTTTCCCCGCTTTCTCCTGACTGTAATGAAGAAGAAGCTGATGATGCTGACAATTTTTTTAAGTGACTACTGTAAAGAAAAAAAAAATCAACTGAGACTTTAAAGAGGTAGAAAGGAATTGTTCCTTCTCATGACTAACCTCAAATACTATGATGAAGGCCAGCCGTGCTGCCAGGACATGCCAGAACTGCAAAGTGAATTCATACGGAGTTGAACTCCATGGTGGGGCTCTGTAATCTCTATACCTGGAAAGCAAATCACAAAACCCAGTAAGTTAGTCTGTGCTTGAAAATGTAGACAAGAAGAGAAACTGAAGTGAAAGCATACTTCAAGAGGAATTAAACAGAAAAGAAGAAGAATAGTCCACAGTACAAGCAATTAAATAATAAAGAAATAAATGAAGATAGCACTTCTTGCTTCCAAAAATCCAGAGTAAACAATTTCTTTTGTTGCTACAAAGCTGACACCTTGGAGTGTTAAGTTCAAGGTTGGCTCTAAATTGCGTTGGCTCTAAATTGGTTCTTGTCTGTGCTTATAAGTGCTTGAGATTCTTCAGACAAAGTCTGCATAAATGTAACATGATTCTATAACTTCTTAGTCAATTCAAGCTAACTCTCACTGCAAAACTACATCTGAAGCCAGGAGTGCACTCATGCAATGTCGTATTTAATTTTTATGCTGAATTTCTTGTAATCTATTTTTTCTTTAATTAATAGACCTCAGAATGCTTAAAAAAAAAAAACTAAATGAGAATTTTTACCCTCCTGGCAGCTGGGGAAGCTTTGAAATGAAATAATTCATAGAGGCACGAAAGACAGGGTTTGCGAGACTCCTGAAAAATCTCAGAACACGGGTTTCCAGTGTCCTACAACACAGTGTTTGCACCTGAGACTTCCATGCTGAACCAACTTGAACTCCAATGCTTTTACAGGCAACCCCCACCCCATTACACCAGGAATTTAAGCACTGACTTCCTATTTATTATCTGTATTAACATCTATGCATGTATTACAAGAAAGAAGGACATCGAAACGTACCGGCAGTATCCTGAGTATCCCATTCCAAGTTCACTCAAATCAAATACTGATAAACTGCTGTTGACATATCCTTTTAAGCATCTGAAAGGAAAAGACATATGGTGAAGTCTTTCTTCATGAAGCAGTTATGCAGCACAGCATACCTCCAAAACCACCCCCTAAAACCACCTATATTTTATTTGGGGCACTGGTCCCCAGATAAAAGAGAGGATGCCCACAAGTACTGTGATCTGTTTAGATCATGTAAAAGGTCATGTCAGACAGTGAGAAATGCAGACAGAGCACAGTGGACACACAGTTCAGAGACTGGTAAGTGGCTGGAGAGAAATGCAGGAAACTGGCCTGATGGGACAAAGATAGGTAAGCTACCTTGCTTGAAGCCAAGAAAAACTATACATGGAGTCTGGCCAATAGTGTCAAGGCCAGTCTTGCTGGAGCTTGCGTGCAAGCATTTCTGAAGAGAAACAGGCAGGGAAGTTTGAGGGCGAACAAGTCTTAGGATAAAGAGGGTTTGGCAACACATATGTGGGTGTGTAAGCATAGTGTGAGAAGACAGTCCAGAACCACTACTGAAAAGAAGAAAACCTTATCTATAGAAAGCCTGAAAACAGTTATGATGTGTAGTGAACTTTGTTGTTCACATTTAGAAGGGAAGACATGACTTTCCCCTTATATGTCTGTGGAGTTTGTTTGCACACTCTCTGGAATGGCTGAGTTACTTGCATGTAACATCTGTGAAGATTTGCACAGTTGTAAAAGGTAAAATATTGCTGATATATGGTATGTATGTTAACACAGAAAGACAGCTGCAAAAGTGAGCTTCCACTGAATTATACATGTATATATAAAGAATATCTTAATTACTTTTCTTGTCTATACCCTTGATCTGTACAGGGACCATATTTGTATGCATAGACAAAACGTGGAATGTAATCCGAAGTAATGGCAATAACAAAGGCATTGGTGATGACAGCCAGGACTCCAATTCCTTCCAGAATCCCATACCAGATACCTAGAAACAAGAGAAATGACAACAAAATCATTAAGTTTTTACAATCATATTAAGTCATACTAATGACACTTAAGTCACTGTTGGTCATACATTTTTCCTTTCTTATTGCAAAAGACCTACTTGGACAGAAAAGGTAACCAAGATTAAACCATGTCCCCACAACCCTGCCACCACTGGCTCCACCTGAATGAAGTGTTACAGTAGGGCAGACCCTGCTGAGAAGAAATGGCAAAGCAACAAAGGTATAACCACAATCCTTGGTTATAGAGGCCAAATACAAGATGTTGGAAAGAGATTTCTTATTTTATTTAATTCAGTTTAAAACCAAAAGTGAATTTAGTCCTTATATTTCAAATAGCATTTTGGACCTAAAGTTCCACAAATCAAAATCCTAAAATACCATATAGCCTATTTTCAAAACTCCAACTATTATGATCCCTTTTTGGAAATTAAAAACAAATTTGAGGAATCCTCTTAGCTAAGCAACTGAGTATCCTTCTGTTGCTTAACAGGAGAGTTGTCACCGAGACCTGTGGGTCACATTATCAGTTTTACTTTTGATGCACGAACTATTTTAAGGGTTAAGCTGCACTAAAGAAAGAAACACAAAGAGATGGTACCTGATGAATGATAATGCCATTAGGCTCTCTCACCTATATCTGTTGCTCTTGCAGGCATAGGTCTTCGCCACTGAGTGACAAACTTGTACGCATCTAACCTTATTTCGATAATATTGTTAAGTAATGCCAGGAGAGGTGCCAGTGGGAAGGCAGCAACGAAGATGGTGGTGAAGCCAAACTGTAAAACTAGACAGGCATTTCTCTGGTTAGAAACCGGAAGCACAAAAGATCTTTTAACATGGAATATAGTTCCAGTTTCTTAGGAAAACTGACACCTCCCTAGATTTGCTCACCCATCTCTAAATATTCGTCCATTAAACCATGAAGATTCATAGGCTGTAGATTCCAATCCTTTTCCCACTGAGGCAGAGAAATTTTATGCTCCATTAATTGCCCTCCTCTCTTCATTTTGCGTCGTGACCACCAATTCTGTAATAAACTTTGTTAGATAAACAGAGTATTACTGACTGTATTTGCTCAGTAATTTACAAAACTTGCTGGTATTGTTTTGAACTAAGAGGGTTTATTTTGAGCAGCACTTGAATGCTTATCCAGGTATTTTTTGCGAACACTTAAGATATCATATAAGGTACAATTCAAAGAAGTCCTCAAAATTCTGCATTATGATTTTAATTATGTCTTTCATGTAGCATGTAAAGCATTCAACAAATAAGCTTTTCAGAATATGGTACTTGCTTGCATGGACTTTTTCTGTAGGATTTAACCAAATTAAAAACCAATCATGCATAGCAAGAGCATCAAACCAGTAAGTAATGCTTTGTTTTTAATCCTGTAGAAGTGTCCTGGGTTCAGCTCCAGCAGTCATTTTTTCTCCTTCTCAGTAGCTGGTGCAGGGCTGTGGTTTTGACTTTCAGCCTGGGAACAACGCTGATAACACCGATGGGTTTAGTTGTTGCTCAGTGATGTTTACTCTGACCAAGGACTTTCTCAGTCTCATGCTCTGCCAGGGAGGAGGGGAAGCCGGGAGGAAGCAGAGGCAGGACCCCTGACCCAAACTGCCCAAAGGGCTATTCCACACCACAGCACGTCATGGCCAGGATAGAAACTGGGGGGAGTCACCCGGAAGGCCCAGATCGCTGCTCGGGTCGGGCTGGGTATCGGTCGGCGGGTGCTGAGCGGTTGTGTCCTTTTCCCTTGTTATTTCCCTTATCATTATTATTGGTAGCAGCAGTGGTTTGTATTATACCTTAGTTACTGGAGTGCTCTTATCTCAACCCGTGGGAGTTACATTCCTCCAATTCTCCTCCCCATCCCTCCGGGAGTGGGGGGAGGAAGGAAGAGGGGGGGGAGTGAGCGAGCGGCTGCGTGGTTCCGAGTTGCCGGCTGGGCTTGAACCACGACAAGAAGACAAACCAAGTAAGTGAAGCTCAGTAAGAAATTTGTGCTACTGGAATACACTGAACAGTCAAACATGTCTATCATTTTGGAACAAACTTAAAGATCTAGATGCTCTACAGAATATTTTTTTCTCGAAGGAAGCATGTCTAAAAAGGTGTTGCTGAAGCTGCAAAGATTCAAGATCATTTTTAATAAAGCTGTGCAGAAGTCCTTTCACAAAGTATTTATAAATATTAAGTACATACAAGTTTCACAAATTCAAGTGTTACAGAAATGAAAACTATTACCTAGTACTTACAGATGTGGCAATTAAAGACTATTGTTTGTTTCCAGATATTACTGAGAAGAGACTGAAGATAGGAAATAATTTTCTTGTAAGTATTTTTATTAACAGGCTCTTACTTTTTCTCAAGCTAATTTAGGGTTTAAGTGCTTGATCTCTCTTGCTACTGACTGAGCAACTGCTGCCTCAGTTGCAAACAATGGCTTGTCAACACAAAACACTGCTTGCCACAAAGGAACGTAAGCATGTTCTCAAATTCTGGGCTGAGAAGACAGGAAGTGTGATACTTCAGGTAGATTTCCTGTTTTCAGAAGTCCACCCCTCACAACAGTACAGTACCCTGCCCCTCATTTGCAGAACAATTGCACGTTGTGAGCATAACCTTTCAAGGTTGAGACTTTGATTAGATTAATATTTGATTAGCAACCTTCTCCCGAAAACATATTCCTTTGGTTTCAAGAGAACTGTAAGACTCTTAGCCCAATATTCTCTCCAGTAGCTGAGCAGCTCTGTTTGTCTTATGGAAAATGAAATCACAGTAAACAATTTAGATGGTTCACATATCCTGAGAAACTTTATCTTAGAGCAGCAGTTAATGCTTCCCTTGGGAATACAGTTACACTATATGAGATGCAAAAAGCAAAAATACTCTCCAAACATAACAATATTTTTCCCTGTCACTGAATCACACTAATGTAATCACTATTTGCAAACCAAACTTTAACATCTGAACTTACGGATAGCCTAGTTCCATGAAGTTGTTCCACATTTGTTTTAAAACCATAATAACTCCCATTTGCAAGCACAGATCTATCAAGCAGCCACTAGGATGACACTGAAATGAAATGGGAAAAGATAAATAGCCAAAATCAGAGAATTCATTTAATTTTTATTTGTTAGAAGGTGAATGAAAACTACTCGAATGTGTTTGGTGAAAAACACTACCCCCTAGCCACAGAAAGGTTAAAAAAAATTAGCAACAGAAATATTGACACAGACTTTAGTTGAACAAACTTTAGACATATTATTTCTTGGAGAACTAGATCATATTACATAAGGGTATGAGTGCTTGGTGTATGATAAATGATATAGTCCATTTCACTTAGAACAATACATACAAATTCATTCCAAAAGAATGGAGCAATGTTTCATTTGTAACATCCTAAGTGAACAGAGACTTAGTAGCTGGATATCTTAACTATATAAATTGCTCTATTAAAATGTTTAGTAATTACAGAAACTCTTGTTAGAACACGGATGAAAAATTAATGGTGTTTTACTCTGTGGCTACCAAGGCTCAATAGAAGAAACCTGTTTTTCAGAGATAACTTCAGCATGGTAGTGATATCCAGGGAGGTGCAATTCCAACACATTTTCAAGTAGATTTTGAAAATAAAATTTTTCTTCTTTTCAGCCTCAGAATCAAAGAAGGTTGGAAAGGATCTCCAAAGCTCATCCAGTTCCAAACCCCTGCCACAGGCAGGGACACTTTCCACTAGACCAGGTTGCTCCAAGCCCCTGTGTCCAACCTGGCCTTGAACACTGCCAGGGATGGGGCAGCCACAGCTTCTCTGCGCAACCTGTGCCAGGGCCTCACGACCCTCACAGGGAAGAACTTCTTCCTATTGTCTAATCTACATCTCCCATCTGTCAGTTTAAAGCTATTCCCCCTTGTCCTATTGCAACAAGCCCTACTAAAAAGTTTGTCCTCATCATTCTTATAAGCCCCCTTTAAGTATTGAAATGCTGCTCTAAGGTCCCCCCGGAGCCTTCTTGTCTCCAGGGTGAACAACCCCAACTCTCAGTTTTTCTCCATAGCAGGGGTGCTCCAGCCCTTGGAGCATTTTTTTGGCCTCCTCTGGACCCGTTCCAACAGGTCCAAATCTTTCCTGTGCTGGCAGAAGCTTAAGAGGCTGATAAAAAAGCTGATGGATTATGTTTATGTCTTCCATCCAAGAATTCTACACACCCAGGAGATTCCAATCACATAGGACTTAGAAGTGAGGTAACGGAACATCACTGTTTGCTTTTCCCAAAGACAGAGACAGAAATAACCTTGTGTCTTGGCTAAGGTCACTCAGCACAGTGGAGAATGCAGAAGGAAAAACGCATGTTCTGTTTCCTATCCTCTACTATAAATAAGAGTTTAGTCTTCACTGCGCTTCACTGGCCTTCAGCCATTTCCTTTTTACACATGGGAATTTCACAGGAACACAGAATAATATCGCTCACCTCTTCCAGTCTCCATCTGTTAAAAAGCTTGTTGTACTTTCCTGGGCGGCCTGCAAATCTGGAAAATAAGATTTCTGTTTCTCAGTAGACATTCCAAGAACACCCTGTATCAGTAGTTATTTCACAACATTCACTGAGCAAACTCAGGAAATATAAACAGATTAAATCACACAGGCTTAAATCTGGTATCTGTAGGATATGGAATTTTCAGAATGCAAACAAGGACCATCATTTTGCAAGTGATTCTAAGCTTTTGTCATGTCCAAGACAAAAATCCTAGCTTCAGAGGTTTTGGATGTTACGTTAGATATTCAGACTCTCTACTTCTAAGAAGATAAGTCATTGCAATACACAGGAATTTACTGCAGAACAGAGATCTGCTTGGCCATGTGAAGTGCACACTCTCAAAATAATTTTTCAAAACCCAGCAGAACCAAATGATTTTCAGAGAACCAAGAGATTCTTGTATAACAAATTGAACCAATTGAACCAAAAATCTTAATGACCTTAGTGAAAGTTTTAGATGAGAGAAAAAAAACCTTGTGCCTGGTCCTACTACGTACAGGAGATAGCAAGATACAAAGAAGTTTAAAAACCATACGTAAATGCACCACTGAATGAAAAGGTAGATATTACCAACTCTCTTTGTTCCTAGGGTGTTGTCTGGTTTTTTTAACAAACAACTTTGAACTGAAATTATATTATAAAATTTTATAAAAGGTACTCTGAAATATGCTAGGTTCTGCAGGAATTATAATTCTGATCATAACAAAGTGAAGATGAAACAAGGTTAGACCTGTCCTGTATCTCATGATCTGAGCTGAAGAGAAACACAAAAATTGGAGCCAGAATTTCTTTCTCCTACTCTTGTATGAGACCTGCAGACAATATTTACTATTTATAGAAATAGATCCTGGGAAATATAACCCAAAGGGAATAAACAAGAGAAAATTAATAAAGTCTATTAATGTAGGGCTAAATACAGACCCACATTTAGGAAGTGTCTGTATGTTCAAAGGGTCTGAATTCTTATTTAGTAGGAAAGTCATGTACGCAGACCCCACTTAAAAAGTAGACTTTTTACTGTCTAGTTTCATCAGTAAAGATTTCAAGGATCTAACTGTCATATACAGTTAAAAATATTAGTGTTATTACTGATCCTCAGAAAGTGACTTGCATCTAAATATCACAGTTCAAATTGTTGATTTATTTTCTTCAAAATTAGCAATGATGATGAGTCCTGTGCAAGTTTTCCTTTAAGTCCAATTAGCTAAGATACCTTACCTGCCAAGAAAAAAGGCAATGTAAAAGATGGAGCTATTCAAGTTGACAAACTGGAAGAGGAACATTTTCAAGGCAAAACTGTTTTCCCATTCAGATTCTGTTCGAGGGTGCTCTGTGGAAAGACACAATATATGTTATATAATCAAAAATGACACTGAGTTCTGCCTAAGTTTGCTCACATATTGAGCAACACTAACAGAACAAGTGACTGTTTCCAGTCATGGTGCCCCATCAGCCTGCAGTTAATTTTTTTGCCTCAGTTCAGCCTGCAGGTCACAAAACCATTGTCCCAGCTCAGACTATGTTGGTTCTAAGTGGAAACAGGAGTTACATGGTCCTTGGTACAGAACAGGACAAAACTCTATAGGAAGATACCTGTTCCATTCCCATGAAAAAGTTCTGGATTCAGCGTAAATCTTTAATTTTAAGGCTGCAGATACCTTGATTTAAAAAAAAACCCCAAAAAACAGAAAACAAAAAACCAACACAACAGCAACAAAAAAAAACCCCAAACAAACAAAACCCCAAAAACCAAAAGACAAACCAAACCAAAACAAAAAAAACCAAACAAAAAGCAGACGCACTTGGCATCAACAGAGCGATAGACAGGGGCTGCCAAGGAAAACACAGGAAAGAGACACAATTAACAGCCAATTGGTTTCTCACACAAGCATCTCGCCTTCTAAATACATCCTCCTCATGTCTGAATTAGAACTCAGGGGACAATGATTAATTCAAATTTTTCTGACAGATGTATCAAACTTGAAATATAGCACATGGATAAAAGTTATGAAGCATATCCATAAGTTTGAAGTCTAAACTGCCTGGATTTTCCAGTTACAATTTTTACTACTTAATAAATTACTTTGGTTTAATGATGCCTAAATTAGGATACAAACGTACAAGATACTAGCTTTACAAATGGGCACTTGTTCCCAGAAGTTAAGATATCCTCCTTCTCTTTGATATGAAAAACCTTAGCAAGTGGAGTGTGCTACCCAGCTTAAACACCTGATGTACTAGAAAGGCTTAATTCAAGAAGTTTGTCTTTTTTTTTTTTCATTTTTTTAAATTTTTTCAGATATTTTGGGAAAAATCAGCTTGTATACTTAACTGAAATCATCATTTTCTTTCCCTTTCCCTTGTCTGCACTTCAATATAATATATCGAAAAAGTTAAGTAGGAATACAAATGAGTGTGACGCAAAAAATAAAAAAAAATTATATTTTAATATCGTAAATTA